GATTCCATTGTATATTCACATATACACAGCACTCACTGATGTTTAGTATCAGTTCCTGTAAATCATTTAAATCTATTTGTTGTTCCAGCTGGGAGCAGCAGCAGCAGCGGCTCTCCCTCCGAAGAGGCTGGCTTCATTTAGCTGATGGAGCTATAGAGCTGTGTGCTGAGATATTATTACCCAAACCTGCTGCAACTACCCCAGAGCTGCAGCTCATTTATAATTCACAAGAGGACTGTAAATCTCCTGAGAGCGGAGGAGCACCCATCTATAATCAACTTCGCTATCTGATACTTCCCAGCTGAAAGCACCTCAAGTGGAATCAGCTCTGAGAACTCGCTGTTGTGACAGCGAGAGGTGAGTTTACACAACTCCACTCTGAAAATGAAATCCAAACTGTCACAACTGTGCAAATAGAAATACAACACTCACTTGTGAGAATGTGTTAAGGAGAATGTGAAGGAAAGGCTAAAGCAGATTTGTCCTTTTGTGAATATGCGTCAATAAATTTGAAGGATGACGCTGGTCATTTTTTGTTTTGGTCAATCTACCCTGCATGAAACAACTAAACCCAACATGGTATCAGACAGTGTCTCAGTATTTTCAGACTTCAGTCTGTGCCTATCAGTCCCAAGACCTTTTGTTTCCACCCCTGTCTGTTGGTTGGTTGGTTTTGTGTTTGTGAGCAAGATTATACAAAACAACTCAACAGATTACTGTGAACTTTGTTCAGAAAGAAATACAAACAGATTTGGTGGAGGATAAGGACATGGATCCATACAGACATCCAACAAAGAGATTAATGATGATGGAGGAAGATAATATTACTCAAGTTACAGCTCTGTAGATGAGCTAATAAATAAATAACATATTCCAGTGGGACCTTCAAAAAGATTTGAGTCTTTTTTCTAATATTTGAGCACCATCATCCAAGTTTTGATACATTCATCACGTCTCTGAAAGCATCGACCATTTTACAGTGTGGTGTAAAAAGGAAATGTGAGAGGATAGTTAGAGGATAGGCTACATTTATTTCCTATAGCATTAACTCTCTCACTTTATCTGTATGTATAATTCATTGATCTTGTAAACAATTTCCAGTGAATCATTTAGTAAACATGATAGCAGCTAAGAACAAGTGTATTTTGATTCAGGCACTGTCTGTGATGCTTGTTATTTTTCATATTCCATCAGAGGAAAAGGTCTTACATGGATGCTTTAATGAATACAGTTATATTTGTCTGTAAGGTTGGCACTGTGGTCAGATTAAATGTTTATAGATAAAATAGTAAGCTTGATTTACAGTGACCTGGTTTATTTGAAAGGGAATCAGTCTTTTATCACTGCAAGGCCATAATGGCATAAATAATCTGCCATGAATGGAAATTAATTTAAAATACTGACTCAGTACAGCCCATACCTCCACAGATGCCCAACATTTCCCTTAAAGTCTGCACACAATCCTTCAAGATCATTTGGACATAGTTTTGAAACAATTAAAGCTTCACATGAACATTATCTCAGCTATGCAGTGGTGCTAGATGGTTTGTAGCTGAATTTGTTACCACACAGCGGCTAAAAAAACTACCTCCTAATGATAAAACCACATTGAAATAGGCTAGATCCAGATCTTCATTTGGATCCACACTAACAGAAGTTAATTATGTCCCACTGACCAACAAACAAGTGTTGTATATTTGGGTAGCGATGATGTGAAGATGATGAAGGAATATCCGCTGACACCGTCTTGCTTGCAAAAAAGGTTTATTACAAGAAGTTCAGCATCAATACAAGCACTGCAGTCTGCCTGGAGAGAGATCCTGAGCCGATGTGAAGCTCTACTCTCTAACAGCTCCAACTCCTCTATTATATAAGAGAGTTGTCGTCGTAAACCTAAAGAAACATATCTGGTTCCCCTACAAGGACACCTTCTCTGTCTAAAAGAGAGAAGAGGGCGCCAGTCTAAATTCAGAGCAGTGGTTTGAGCCTTGACCTATTGACCTGATGCCCACACTTAGCTTTTCTCAGAAAACCTAAACATGTGGACCTTCGGATCACCAGGACCTATGGACCTCAAACCCATCGATCAACTTCCTTCAAGAAAGAACACATGGCATTCCAGACACCACACAAGTCAACAATCAAACAGACAGGAGGGCATTACCTTAGCGGAGGTAAAAATGTCAAAATATTTAAAGAAGCTTCAGAGCACACCTTCAGTTGAGGACCATCTGGACATCTCACTTTGTTAATCGATTCTTGCATCAGAATCCTGCCCTGATTTCATGTCACAGTTTAAACCTTTGTTACTGTCCACTTTTGTCAAATTACAAATAAACATGGTAAACCACATTTTTTATGTTGTCTGTGGAGAGGTGGTGCCGTATTTAGCATTGTTGCCTTGTAGCAAGAAGTTCTTGGTTCGAAACCCCGTCTTTCTGTGTAGATTTTGCGTGTTCTCCCAATGCCTATATGGATTTTATCCAGGTACTCTGCCCAAAGACATGCATGGGTTAGGTTAATTTGAGAATTGACCGTAGATGTGACTGTGAGTACAAATGCCGTCCTCTCCAGCCTCTTGCCCAGTGTCAGCTGGAATAGGCAGCAGCCTCCCGCACCCCTCAAGAGGATAAGTGGTATAGAGGATGTAGGGTATATAGATGGATGGATGGACAAGTACCAGACCCGACCCGACTGAATCTTTCTAATTTTATTTAATTGTATGTCCAAATTAAGCTTCCTTCTTTCCTTCACTGATGAATTTTAATTTCATTCTGAACATGGCGATCTCGTTGTTTGGTTTCCCCACTGTCACCTAATCTCTTACGACCTTGGCGCCCATAGCAATCAGTCTCTTTTTTCTGTGAAGATTCCTGTGTGAGTTGACCTTGTGACCAGCAGAGTGATAACAAGATACTTAATGTGCAGCTCTACATCGGCTGGATGGTCGTCTGTCATATAAACGTCTACACCCTTTTACAACCTTCTTCAGCTACAGGCTACAATCACAGTGTGTGTGTGTGTGTGCTCTCTGGATGCCCTGCAGATCACATGAGACCCTCACCTGCCTGCTCAGCTGTCCCTCATTCCCTAGCATAATTCCCAGTGCAGCCCTTCTTCACAGCAGACATTTCCACATGTTATAAATGTGTGGCACAAATGGCCATGGGGTCACAAGACAGTATGACAGTGAGCCAGGGTGCACAGTGAAGCATCTAAATGGAATTCAGGCATCTTTAACTAAATCTACCACACAGAAACAGATGTTTCAAGGAACTTTAGGGGCCCGGGACAAAAGGGACCTGGGGTAGGCTGCACACAATTGGGGCCCCAGGCACTTGCCAGCTTTGCCTATAGTCTGTTGTAACACCCCTGCACTCCAGCACGGATTAAACTTACACCTGGCACAGAAAGTGAGATGAAGCTGCATGGTTTCACTGTCACTGTCCTCAGGCTGATGTGATCATGGCTCCCAAGCAAAAGACAGGTGAGATCAACATGAGATGGAATCAACTGTAAAGACTTCACATAATTAGTTTCAGTGCTTCATGATTTCATACATCCTATGTATTGTGTTGTTATTCAGCTCAGCAGGATTCAAAGCTGTTTACGTTAACCACTTGCTGAGAGCACTGCACTAAACTCCCCATATTGATCCTCTCACACGCTTCTGCATTCACATCACGTCCCAGGCTAAAGACTGCTGCAGCTGACACACACACACACACACACACACACACACACACACACACACACACACACAGTGAGCATTTGCCCTGTCCTTCACAAGAGTAATAAGATGGACCAGGAGGACGAGCTTCATCATTAAAGACATCATGGCACTGAAAGAGCAATCGCCTGTTAATGTGCATTGAAAGCAAAGAGATGGTAAAGAAAAAAGAGAACAATCAACCATTCTCATCCTCCTCCCAGATATTTAGCTATTCTGCATGGCAATCAATGTGTTTAACAGATCATGGTTATACACCTCCTCTTCTTCTTCTTCTTTTTCTCATTATCAACTCTGACAAGGAAGATATGTTTACATCTGCGTTTGATTTTTTGAGAATTAGCAGGGTTGGGCAGAAAGTACTTGACCAATTTCGGAAGGATGTGGTATGAATCAGGGAAGAACCCAATACATTTTTGGCACGGATCCACAAATGTATTTTCCACTTAAACATTGTGAGGTAGAACGTTTTTTTGACATTCATTATGAATAAATATCATATATTTTGGAGATAATATTTATGAGTGAGTGAAATTTGGTGCAGATCCAAATAAAAGTCTGGATCTAGTGAACTTAAATGTGGTTGCATTAGGGGGATATTAGGCCTTGGCAGAGGTATTCGCTCAAGTGAGTGTCTTGCTAGTAGTAGTATTATTATCATCATTATTATCATTATGCAGATTATTTTATACCTGGGGCGGGGCCAGTCTTTAAAAAAAATACTCCCTTATGAACAATACTAACAACAAATATGACCACTTGTTAAGAATTGTTATTATTGTGTAAGCTTTTTCAAAGTGCAAAATGTGCTTGAACAAGGAAAACGTTTCAAAATATATATTCAATGATGGCTTTGCTCAAAGCTATGGAGCTATAGACATACTTAGCCCTTCTATGTAAATTTAGAAAAACCCTTGATCCGCCACTGTATATACACACACATCGATGTTGACCCATAATTTACACATTTCTATTTTTGTTATTTTACTTTTGAATTTTTTTTATTTTTATAATGTTATAGTCTCTATTATTATGGTTATAGAATATTTCATACACTGTTATCAAGCTGTAGTCTTTATAATATTATGGTCACGTGAGTTCTGTACTAGTGTTACTGTAAATAGAGGGCTGGTGTTGAATGTGACACCCCCCCCTGCTCTGCTGTGCAGCTCGCGCCCCTCAGATCATCATCACATGGTTTCCTCGTCACCGAGCACCGTGTGTGTCCGGAGGAGGATGACAGACAGGAGGGACCAGTGAGCACCGCGGATCTGCTGCTGCTGCTGCTGCTTCTGCGATGAAGAGGAGGATGACGGTGTCCTGTGGCGGATCATCTCCGAGACTGGGCCGCTGAAGACCCCCGCACCCAAACCAACCCTCCTCCTCCTCCTCCTCGTTCCTCCTCCTCTGTTCGGATCTTTGGAAACCGGCAGTAAACAGGTAAAGCAGCCGCGGGTGGGACGCTTCAGTCAGCTTGGACTAATGTTAAATCAGAGACAGAGGGAGGTGATGGGAAGAAGCGACTGGAACAAACGTGTATGTTAGTTATCGTTTGGTATTAATTTAATGGCTTGATTTATGACAGTCATTGATTGATTGTATTTTCTGCTGAGCAGCCTGCGGGTCACTGTTTTGACCCGCAGGCTGCTGCAGTGCACCTGCAGTCATCTCATTCTGCAGCTTCATTATGTCACATAGTCCTCATAGCAGAGATGACTTACATTTGTTTTTTAAATATGTCCCCACAGCTTCACAGTTCTCCACTGTGACGACTGGGTGCAGCAGGTCCACACAGTTTGTTATCCTGACATGATGGGGGACTCCCTCTGTGTTTCCCACCGCACGGCCGAGGCAGTGCACAGAACGAGGAGCTTTATCACGGTTCTGCCTTTTGCTTTGCTGCTACCAACTGTAAGAGTCAGTGCACAGTTAATGGGAGGCCCCCTGGACTGCCACAAGACCTGTGTTTGCGCCAGCAACATCATTAGCTGCTCCAATACGAACCTAACCAATGTCCCCATCGCTCTTCCAGAATACACAGCCGTCCTTGACCTCAGCTTCAACTCCATCACTAAGCTCCGTGCAGAGTGGACCTCCATCAATCTCGGCAGACTGCACACTTTATTGCTCAACAACAACGGCCTTACTTTTCTCTCCTCTGAGGCGTTTATCTATGTGACTAAGGTTCACTACCTGGACCTTTCGTCCAATCGCCTCCGCCTGCTGGATGAGATCATCTTTGAGCCGCTGGAGCAGCTGAAGGTGCTGCTGCTTTACAACAACTGCATCTCTCAGATCGATCGCTCTGCTTTCTCGAGCCTCATCCAGCTGCAGAAGCTCTACCTGAGCCACAACTCAATCTCACGCTTCCCCCTGGAGCTGGTGAAGGAGCGGAGCCGGCTGGAAACTCTCAGACTGCTGGATGTTTCCTCCAACCGCATCAAAGTCCTGCCCTTGCACGAGCTTCAGGCCCTGCCCGCCTGGATCAAGAATGGTCTGTACTTCCACAACAACTCTTTGCCCTGCAGTTGTGAGCTGTATGAAGTGGTGGCACGCTGGAACCTCAAGGAGCTCAGCTCCGCTGTTGACTTCAGGAGCAGCCACACTTGTGTGTTACCAGGGCAGCAGAAAGAGAAAATGGCCATACTGGATCTCAACAAGGTCCATTTGAACTGCAGTGAGGCCAAAATTATGGACGAAAAAGCTTATCTGGAGCAGTTCCTGGTGCTGGACTGTGATGCCAGGCAGAAAAACATGACTAAGCGCTGGACACTGCCTGGAAACATCCCACTGTCTGCAAACAAGACTGCTGTGATCAATCATGACGGCAACCTCCAGATCGGGCCCCTGAGTGTAGAGGACTCTGGGGTCTACACCTGCTATGCCACAAGTGACTTCCTCAACGAGACGCTGTATGTGACTGTAGTGGTGTTTAACTCCACCATGACTGGTGGCCTGGAGAACCTAAAAACGGCCTACACCACCCTCGTAGCATGTCTGGTCAGTGTCGTTATGGTTCTCATCTACCTCTACCTCACACCCTGCCGCTGTTGTCCGGGTCAGGGCCTGGAGAAGAACGACCCCAATGACAGCCTCCGTTCTTCAACTGTCAGTGTGTCTCAAGCACACAAAGACACGGGGCAAGAGGGAGTGGAAGGGGGAGGATTTAGCTACAGACATGTGGGCTTCCCGGATATCAAGGACCAGATGGAGCAGAATGGGAGGTTGAATCCAATAGGTGAGGAGGACGAGGAGTGGCAGGGGGAGAGTAAGGAGAGAAGGAGGTCTGACGCAGAGTCGGTCAGCTCCGTGTGCTCTGATACCCCCATGGTGGTGTGACAGCTTCATCCATACGGCTGCCCCACAGATGAATGTGTGCAGGATTCAAACATTAGCATCTTCCAAACAAAGCCAGAGCTCTGTCTCTCATGATCAGCGACAAAGTTTCAGTAGCATGTATCATTGATTTAAAAAAAAAAGAAAGATTATCTGTGCAGTGTAAAAAAAAAAAATACCCCAAAGCATTCTGTTAATGCCTAAAGATATTTAGCTAAAATTGTTTATGACCTACATTTATTTTGACATTGCAAGAGTGGCATTTTTGAAGACAATTTCATTGCAAATTATCGTTTCAAGATGGCAACTATTGCTTTTATTGGCTGAACCTGCAAGGAATCACTTTGCAAGTTGTAACAATGAGTTTGAATTTTGTTTTCACTTAAGTCCCTGAGAGAGAAAAAAAGTTGCCATCAGCACCAATTATTGAAAGCATGAAAACATGATTGATGTTATTCCTCAGTTTAACTTCTGAATCTCCAGAGGCTGCACGTTAAATTAAAGTTATACAGCTTTTTTTATGCACTGCAAATCTTGGCACGACAAATATTAATGTTGGACAGAAGCTGCTGCTTGATATAGAAACAAATATAAATGTGATTATTTCTTCTTTATTTTACATTCCTGTTTGGTTTGGTCAGCACTTACAGGACACAATACTGTAAAGATTACCTTTATGCATTTTTATTATTTTAAATTATTTTAGATTTAGTGCTCCAGTTGAAGTGCTTTTGATTCCTTCAACCTTGTATACAGGTCTGTTTTAAAAACAAACAGATTATATCTATTGTTGTGGCAGTTATTCCCGCTGATCATTGACCTCATAAACACTGTAGGTATTAGTGAAACTGATATCTAATTGTTTACATCAATATAAACAACTACTTACTATTTACAGACAAATTTACATTAATATTAAGTCAAGCATTTATGTCACTAATATTATAACGTTACATTCCAGATGCACTGACAAAATATTGAACAAAGGGACATATTTTAATATTGATGAGATCTAAGGTGCAGAACACCGTGCAAAGAGGAAGTAAACAGACCTGACAGTGGATTCAGAGAGTCTGCAGAGATGGTTTCCAGTTTAAAAAATATACCCATTGTAATAAACTGAAGCTCATTTAAACCACATTTCACAAGGCAACAAAGATGTTCTCTGTTAATGCAGCTGCTGGCGACAGATTTCAGCCTCGCATCTCTGGTACAGAGGTTCCCAGTCTGTTCTGCTTTTGACCCCGTAACACAATCCAGCAACTAGTAATTACAGGACGTACGAGTTGTAATTAATCTAATCAGAGTGATTTTCCCTTCTCAGATTGCTTGACCTGAGTCATTTTTAGAGGCCTGAAGAGGCAAAACCAGTCAATGTTTCACAAGAAAGAGCCAATGATTAGAGAAAAGTCTGAAGAATTAGAATAACTTTAAAGATAATAATGTTTTGTTTTTTTATATTTCACTACACTAATCATTGTACAGGGCCTCATACACTTATCTCAAGATCCCTTGTGGAGGTCTGGACAGCCGGGTTGTGAACCACTGATCTAGTTTGAACATTTTTAAAAAGGTTAATCATGATTAAAAACATTATAATGACAAATTCATGTTTGGGCTAGAATTTCAAATATAAAATCCACTGTTATATTGCTGTTAAGATTATATGTTGTGAGAATGGCATCCAGACAAGTAACATAAACATACACCCTGCCATACTGGATAGTTAATAGCAGCCAGGCAGGAAGAGCCGCCCAGGAGAGACAACTGAGAGTGAGTACCATCTATTGAATGCTTCTGGGCATTAGTGCCCAACCCAGAGCAAATCAGCAAATGCCAGCCAGCCAGAAGTCTCATAAACACAGTCAGGAATAGCAGCTTGTAGCACGGCCGCACACAGGCAGCCTGACACAGCTGAAATGTAAATATAGAAGTCACACTTTTCAAGCACATCTACATTTTAGTTCAATCGAAAACGCCTTCAAATTATAATGATGGTGTCGATACAGAAGTTGTTTTCCATTTGGTATAAACACATGCATCACGGTGATGTGTCACAAAACTGAAGTGAATTAACTTAAACTCAAAACTTAAAATCAAACACCCCTAGATAATGGATGTAGCAATGGACAGTGCTTTTATTTTGAAAGAACAATATTGTCATCCTCTCAGTTTTCTTGGTGCTTTTTCAAAATAATTTAGGTGAATCCTCACCTTCATTTAAAGTGTTTGGAACTGTCTGATTGTATAATAATGTAGCTTGACATGCTGAAAAACCTTATTAACCTAGATCTCTCAGAGGGACACATCTACTCTATGCTAATGTACATATTTCTCTTAAAACCAAAGATTTAGTTGCAAACATACATTGATAACCTACATGTTCAGTGTTTACAGTCAGTACGGTTATACTGTCTTTACCATGTTGAGCTTACATACTGTATATGTCTGTGTTAAGACACAAACTTATGTTTTAATATATGCAATCCTGTATAAAGACTGGTGTTAAATTGTTGCTGTATTGTACATTGTCTGTTAATGTATTGATCCTGTATTTCGTAAACTACATGTCAACCAAGTGTGAGTGGCATTAATACATTAATGAATGAATCCGTCAGAGCTGCAGATCATTGAAAAGAAATACATTGATAGCCTACCACAATTGTCTTTCTATTAAATTTGTTCAAGTGTTAATGTTTCCTCTAATTTGATTTTAATTAGTTATTTGATGCTATACAAATGGGGTGTAATACAATGATTGAGAGCTGAGCCTGACTCCCAATGGGTGGAGCCTGTAGGTTATGTGTGATGTGTTAATAAACTTTAAAGGTGCTTGTAGGTGGATTATCTCTGTTAGACAGGACTGAGCTGGCTGTTCCACTCTTTTTGCTAAGTTTAAGCCACTGACTGTAGCTTTGTTTTTAATATTGTTTTATTTAAAAACTACATACATACTGGTGTCAGTCTCCTCATTATAGGATTCAGTGGAGCTCCCGTCTGGCTTCAGTTTCTGTTTTAGACTAATGACACGGCCTTGAGGGTGAAATAGGAGACCACACAGATCGCTGGAGCCTGAAATGTTCATGCAGGGAGTCACATTTACAGCACCCGTCCCTCAGACTTACTTTCCGCTGCATCACTTGTTGATGCCGGCTTTTCAGCCTTATTTGGATGTTTGGCCACAGGATCTCCATAAAACAGTACGAGCATGAGCGTGGATGTTTCAGAACAGTCAACTGGATTAATAAAATATTAGCCTCAAACTACCTGAAGTCACAAATCTGTTGTGTAGTTGTAGCAATAAGCATAAACTTACCTGTCATTATGCAGATCATACAACATCCCTTTCCTTCATGGAATAGTGAAGAAGCCTTTGTATAGAAGTGCTGCTCTGCAACTAAAAAAGAGGTGCATATCAGCTTTTTTAATGTTGCCTTTAACAAAGTCTGAATTAGTTTGAGATGATGAGCAATGATAGTCTAAATGCTCAGTGTCAGTACAGCTGTGTTATTATCATATGTTGAAGTTGTCTGCATTTGTGCCAGGAAACTTTGGTGTTGTTTAGTACAAGCTTAAATATTATGTGAAACATTCACATTGAGAAAGCCTTTCACCAAAGTGTTTTGAAGTAGTGGATTCTGGGTTGTGGCTGTTGGGCTGTCGTTGTGAAAGATGCTGCAGTGTGAAACCTCACCTGCTGCCCTATGACTCCTCTGCTGGATGAATGATTAAAGGGGAGAGGTTTGCTCTGGTGCCCACGCTCCCTGTTCCAGCATCGACCGTCTTGTGTTACCATGTTTACCCATAATGCACGCTTCACCAGCCAGGTGTGTGTAACTAGACGTAACCATTTGGAAAAAGCAGCACAACAACATAATGATGCAGTCAATGTTAGACAGTAGTGGGTTAACAACTGATCTGTGTTTATGCACGTTGAAATGGAAAAGAGTCGAATGATGCATACCCTTTGAATATTAAATCACAGATTATAATTAGAACGAATGTTGCAGCCTAAAGAAAACCCTCAGATCTCTACACATCACACACAGATGGTATGAATGTAAGTCAGCACCTGCTGACAGTGAATGACTGGCATCAGTCTCTGTGTTTTTTAAAGCCTGAATTCTAAGTAAGATGACTCATCCTCTCCTCTGGCTCCTCCCAGGAGAATCAAATGGATGTTAGTGAGTCCTGCGCCATCTAGTGGTCACACACACCCTCATACATAATGGAGAATAACCTTTACATTGATCCTTGAGCATCTTAGAGCTCCTCCAGAGGATTCAACATTGTGTCCATTAATAGAGATGCTGAAACACAGATGGTTAGGGGCTTATGTTATGCAAATCATAAGTCCTGTAAAAAGCAGATCTCCAAATAATGTTATTTGTGAAGTAGGAAATTTAGGTCCAAACATATCTATTTTTTTTATTGTAAAATAAAATACCTTTTATGTGGACGCTCCAAAGGTTAATGGTGTGACATGAGGAACCAGTGCCTCTACAGGCCCAGAGATGAATTGCAACAAGCGTAAAACGTTATCTTGTATATACCACAGTAAACACTAAAACACCTAAGTTATTTCATTATTACACATATATTTGGGATCTGTAGCTGAAATGAGTTCTCCCCTGCTCAGGTACATGGAGAACATGTTCTAGGGGATTTGTCACCTGATTTCACAAACCATATAGACTGTGTATAAAAAAGATGGCCACTGGCGTTGTGTCAAACAACGCCAAACTGAAAATCGGTCGCCCTATATCTTAAAGACTACGAATGTGCAAATATTCTTAATTCATTGATTGATCAATAAATCATCTAATTGGTGTCCGATTCTCCAATTTGAGACACTGGAACATTATATTAATATATATATATATATATATTGAGATGGAGTCCTGATGCCAATAAGCCATATTGTATCTGTACCCAGGAGATGAATTCGTTTGTTTGTTTTCACAGCTGCCCAAGGAAGTGGAGGGTGGTTTCCTGCTACATACGTGGGGGTCAAAGGTCATTTGCAGCACACTGCTCATTCCTGAGTAGAAACTTTGCTCTCGGGTTTTATGGAAACTTCTCTTCGAACAGGCCTCTCTCCTCCAGCAGCTGCCTGGATTTACTGGGTCTATGAGCACCACATAAATCCTGGAGCTCATTCATTATTTCAGCTCAGTTTAGCAAAACATTTCATACAACTCACAAACATCTCAAACCTCATATCTTAGCCTAATAAGGACTTGCATCCTGGGGGGGATTCAAGTGCAGCTGAGCCAGGAAATGTCAGGAACTTGTTTCATCTCATGCATGGTTGGAATTGTTTTCCTTCTTGTCTGGTCACCTTGTTGAGGCAAAAACCAAAAGTCTAAAAGCTGCTGGAGACCTGTTGACAGTTGGATTAACAGCATCGCCAACTGCAAAAATGTTGGAACCCATGGCAACACTGACACGGACAAAGTATGAAGTTTCTTATTTCAATGAAGTGAATAAAATCTATTTAGAGGAAAAAAATAGACTCAAGACAATGACCCTTATTTCTAAATGAATTAAATTCTTTTCTATTAATGGGAATTCTGTAAATTGACTTTAACAAGTTTCCTTGTTTTAAAAAATATAAGAATGAATTTCTCTGCTGTCTACTATAAATCAAATGCATTGCTTGTGAAAAAAATGCTGATGCTATATAATTACCTGCTCTAAACTCATCCTCTGTTCATATTCTCTGGGAGTGTGATATCACTCCATCAAACTCTGCCCTCTAGAGGACAGAGTCTAAAAACCAGAAGAGACCATTCTTTACTCTACACAGCCCAACTCACACTTTCACTGAAACAGGACAAACGATACAGGAAAACAATACATAACAGTGGGTATTTTTAAAAAGCTGCCTTTATTAAAAAAAAACACAATGATACAATTTACAATATTAATCTGTATTATGATTCAAGGACAAATCTGAATTGTACTCACCAAAATAGTTTCTCTTGTCTGATGATGAATTCCTTGCATGTGCAGCAACTATGTTGTGTTCATTCAAGGTAAATATGAGTCTTTCACAGAGACAACATGATACACAAGTTTTCTTTCTTCATCTCCTCCTGTGTTGAGACAATGACCTGAAATACCCATCAGTTTAATAACACACAGGTTTCAATGAGACACATTCATTGAAATCTCTTTTGAGTCAATTTTGCCTGGTCTTGCTACATGTCTGATGTTCACTTGATCAAATAACTTTTCCACTGTTGACTATGACCCACTTGTGTATCTGCTTGACATTTACATTAGATGCTCCATGAACTGCTGGTATTTGAGACCAACAGTTTTTCTAATTTAGCTAGTCCCAGAAACCATGATGAAGTTAACCAACTGGGGAAGTTGGATGTGCAGGAAGGTAAAATGCTAAGTGGACTCTCACCATCAGTTCACCTTATTACCAGCTATGGCCCCTGTAGTGTGCGTGGTTATATTGGTCTTCAGCATTTGAATACATACCTGAGTCAGTCGATTAGGTCATCTTAATACTTTACCTGTGGAACAGGAGAAAGTTTAGCCGTGGTGAGACTCAAACCCATAACGCCCCCAAAGCTCCAGGAAACCTTGGATCCCAGCCGTGGCATCGGTTGATCGCCTGAGGCTGAAGTGAAGCTGCTCTGGTCCCTTGAAGATGAAGCAGTGATGAGCAGCAGCAGATTTTTCTTGGTGAGATTCATCCTGCAGCAGACTCTGACTGATTCCTTACTTTGGTTTCATAAGCAGTTTGGCACAGAAAAAGTATGTAAATCAGATCAACATGTCAACTAAGATTCCCTGTAGAGGAAGCGTTTCTCCTCTGTGGGGCTTTCTCTCCTTCCCTTTTTATGGCAAATAAAGCAGATGCTGTCTCACTGTTGCAAACTCTTTCTCCATCAGGCCCTAGCACAGTGCTCCTCTTCAAAACTCCAATACAAGAACAACAAGCAAATAAACAAATAACTTCCTTGTCAAGCTCGTGCTGAACCGACACTCTGCAGGGGCCAGATGAGGAAGATGATCGGGGCCTTCAAATGCTGCCGTGCTTCCGATGAGAGGCTGCCTGGTGGAGACAACCTCTGTGATTTTTGGCAGAACTTGGCGAGTGCCAAACAAGTTGGATGTGCACTGTGCTGGTTCTCAGCCACACCTCAGGCCAGAGGTGACTGAGGAAAAAGCCGCATTATCTGCAGAGACGCAGCGACTCGATCTTTGCCTCTGCAGCACACGGACCAAGAGGATTCTAGTACGGCCAAATTTCACAATCTCTTCACCAAGAGGTCATTCAACAAATGATGAATATGAAAACAAAGAACTGAGAGGCTGCCGTCACTTGATTTTCACACTTCCTCTCGAGGATCCCGCTGTCAAAGTGATAAAGCCGTTTGAGTTTGATAGACAATTCCAAGAACAGAAAAAGGTCACAAAAGCTGTCTTCCGAGGCACGTGTGTTTCCCACGAATTTATTGAGACAAAAATCTATCAAGTGCGTGATGCACTTTGCGTTTTTTTTTCCTGACAGTTAGGTATACTTCTTAGGCCCATGAGCATTGATGTTCTCCATGTCTCTCCAGATATCCTGAGTATACAGCACAAATCATTTCTTTTTCTCCATTTGAAACACAGTACTCAAATCAAAACACAAAAAACAGAACATTTTCAGTCCTTTCAGAGGAAGGTTGTTGCAAGGCAGCCCTCTCCTCTGACGCAAGAGTGTATCACACAGATAGTCCACTGACGCATGGAAGTATTTTCAACATATTGACTCAGGACCAGCTATTAGAAATGTGTATAGGCATACATATAACTCTTCATTTATAGGTTACATCCTCTCTATTTAACAGTACATGCTTTGTTGGGGTAACATCTGCATTTCAGAATG